TGAGATGCTTCCACCGCCACTGGATCCACAAGATTTCCCACCCACTGGCCTGTGATCTTCCTGCATTCGGCATCATTGCATGTGTTGCATGAGTCTGAAGAGGAATTTACAGATTAGTATCAGACATATGGGCTACTATCAGACTTATGAACTTGATCTGGACTGGGCTGAGATATTTTCTTAATGTACCATTAGCCTTTGATATAAAACCCTCTCTTACACACATGTGAGTGCCTCTGGATTTGTGTCTCTAGTCTACCTGGACTCACAGAGTGTTACTATAAGAGACGGTCTTGGGAGAAGGGGAGCCAAGAGTTCCCTGGAAGGGAGTTGGATGAGGCCTCGACTCATGTAGTTTGGATGCATTGTCAGGAGTGACCGACCGGTCCCTGGAGAAGGGTGTTGTGCTTGGGAAAGTGGAGGGGCAGCGATAGAGAACGAGGAAGACGCTTGAGCTGACTGGACGCAGGGCTGCAGCCCGGGGCTCAGCTGTCACCATGATCGGGGGGATGGCGCAGCGCCGAGAGGTATTTGGTTCTGCTGTGCATGGGCACTAGGAGCCGACTGGCCAGCACCACACAGAAACCACAGGAAAGACTGCAGACACTCCCCGTCGGACTCTCTGCCCCTCTGGGGACCCACAGCCATTCATGGGCCAGGCTGGCCCTTGGACCACACCTTGAGCAGCTCTGGACTGAGCTTGCCGTTAAACGTATCCTTAGCCCGTGTTACTGAGAGAGAAGCTGCGAGCGAGCTTGAATTCTGGGTAGTCATTTACCTGGGTGCCAGTGTCCCGTGAGGATAGGTGAGGCAGAGGCAGGTGAGCAGAGGCCAGGGCCCCTGTAAGGTGAGCAGCATAGGTAAGGCACCCCAGGGCGTCTGAGAAACCAGTGCCCAAGTTACCGCTTGCCCTCGGGTACCACAGGCACCTGCTCCTGGGCGCCTTCTCCAGGCATCTTGTCTGATCTTTGTGAACTTGAGATCATGACAAGGTGTCCTGGCTCCCAGCCCCAGGCTGCAGGTGGTCACACCCTGTGAGCTACCTGCCTTTGCTCAGCCAGGCAAGGTCACTTGGAAATGCCATCTGTCCACCACCACCTCCCTCCCACCCCAGTGCTCCTTCTGTACCATCCTGTGGGTTCTCCTGCACGCACTTGCACTCTGTCTGACACCCCCCCCCCTGAACACGCTCCTACACACACTCACACTCGTATACACTCTCACTGGCCCAGACACGTGCATGTACGTACACATGTGCACACGTGCATACAGGCACATACACAGATATGTGCACACGCAGAGACAGCCCCTGCCTGGCTCTCCAGTGGACATGTTATCTCATACACACGTGCTAACACTCACAACAGAGACACATTCACACATACACACATGCACATGCAACCCAGACACATGCACATACTTATACATACATGCATCTGCATACAGACATGCACACTCTCCCTGTCTCTCACACTGGGACACATGCCCGCCTACACACGTGCTCACACTCAAAGCCAAATGCACACACACACACACACACACTCTCTCTCTCTCTCTCTCTCTCTTTCTCCTTCTGTCTCACACATAAGCACACACTCAACCCAGGCACATGCATATGCACATGCACACATACGCTCACACACAGCACACACAACCCAGACACCTACATACAGGCACGCATACACACATGCACACACACTCTCCGTCTGTCTCTCTCTCTCTCTCTCACACACACACACACAGTGACAACCCAGACATGTGCATATACACATGCACACGCACACACTCTCCCTATGTCTCCCACGTGGACAACCACACCGGCAATACCAAAGCCAGTCTGCTGTGACTCCAACTTCTGAACCCCTTTTCTTTCTCGGCTCTCTGCTGACACCCCTCTCCCACTCCTGCCCCCACCGGACACAGGCCTTTGAAAGCACCAGGCCTGGGGCACTTGGTCCTGCAAATCGGATTTGAACATTCTTTTTCCTAAGCTCCTGCAGTCTTTGCCAGCCCCTCTGATCAGCGTGGGGTGGAAAGAGGAGAGAGGCCAGTGTGGCCAGGACCAGCCTCCCCAGAAGTGGCACCCAGAGTGAGCAGGGCTGCCCATGCCCTTTGAAGCTGCTCCCATGTCTCTGCCCTGCTGTGTGGCAGCCTGACCCATTTGGATCACATGTGCACATGCGTGTCCCTGCATGTCCATGCCATGTTCCCCTTTCCCCCC